TGTGTTACTGAAGGATTCTTTGGGCAAAATATTGAATGGTGCAGAAAACATGAAAAGAAGATAGAAGGAATACACAGAGTCACTGTACCAGAAGAAATGATCAATGTTGCACCATTACAAGAGGCAGCATATGATCAAGACCCAATTACTGAAGGAAGAAGTCCAAGGTGCGTTGAAGGCATTGGCAAAGAACAAAGCTCGGGAATTGATGGACTACAAATGGAAATCTTTCAACAAACTGATGATGAAGCCTTGGAGGCACTCACTCGTCTATACCAAGAAATCTGGAAGACAGCTACCTAGGAAACTGATTGGAAAAGATCCATATCTGTGCCCATCCAAAGAGAGGTGACCCAACGGAATGCAAAAATCATCTAACAGTATCATTAATATCGCATGCAAGTAAAATTTTGCTAAAAATAATTCAAAAGTGGCTGCAACAATACATTATTGGCAGGGCACTGCCAGAGGTTCCAGCTGGTTTCAGACAAGGGTGTGGAACAAAGAGTATCATTGCTGGTGTCAGATGGATCCTGGCTGAAAACAGAGAATACCAGAAAGACATTTACCTGTGCTTTATTGCCTACGCAAAGGCTTTCAACTGTGTGGATCATGACATGGTATGCACAACACAGCACAGAATGAGTATTCCAGAACACTTAATTGTGCTCATGAAGAACCTGTATGTAGACTAAGTTGTTCAAACAGAGCAAAGGAACAATAAATAGTTTAAAATTTGCAAACGTGTGCACCAGGATTGTATTCTTTCACCATACCTATTCAGTCTGTATAATGAGCAAATAATCCAAGAAGCTGAATTAATATAAAGAAAAATGTGACATCAGGAGTGGAGAAAGTCTCAATTAACAACCTGTGACATGCAGAAGATACAGCCTTGTTAATGAAAGTGAAGAGGACTTAAAATACTTACTGATGACGATCAAAGAGCACAGCCTTAAATATGGGTTGCATCTCAATGTAAAGAAAACAAATTCTCACCACTGAATCATTAAACAACATCCATATAAATGCAGAAAAGATTGAAGTTGTCAAAGACTTCATTTTGCATGGATCCACCATCAACTCTCATGGAAGCAGCAGTGAAGAAATCAAACACTATATTGCACTAGGTAAATCTGCTGCTCAAGAAATCAAACAACTTAGGTCTGTCTGCTTCACAAGACCTCTTTAAAGTGTTCAAGAACAAAGATGTCAGTTTGAGAGCTACAGTGCTCCTGAATCAAACCATAGTATTTTCAGTAGCCTCATATGCATGTGAAAGTTGGACAAAGAATAAGTTGGGCTATAGAATTAATGCCTTTGAGTTATGGTGTAGAAGAAGAATGTGAAAAGCACCACGGAGTGCCAGAAAAACAAACAAATCTGTGTTGGAAGAAGTAGAGTCAGAATGATCCTTAGAAGATATGATGGAGAGGCAAAGCCATATTATTAGGAGGGACCAGTCCCTGGAGAAGGACTTCGTGGTGGGTAAAGTGGAGGGACAGCAAAAAAAGAGGGAGACACCTAACGAGATGGATTGGCAGAGTGGTGGCAGCAATGGACTGAAGCAGCACTTGTGAGGATGGCGCAGAACTGGACAGTGCTTTCCTCTGTTGGACAGTGGGTCACTGTTGGTTGGCAGTCAGTCATTAGAACAGAATGAGGGGACACGGATTCGATGGTACCTAACAACAACAATGGAGAAAATACTGAATGATGCAGAAAGCATCAAAAGGAGAAGGAAGGAATACACAGAGTCACTGTACCAAAAAGAAGTGGTCAGTGTTCAACCATTTTAAGAGTTAGCTTAAGATCAAGAACCAATGGTACTGAAGAAAGAAGTGTAAGCTGCACTGAAGGCATTGGTGAAAACCAAGGTTCCAGGAATTGATGGACTACAAATGGAAATTTTCCAACAAACTAATGCAGCACTCATGTATACTGAGAAATTTGGAAGTCCACCTGGCCAACCAATTGGAAGAGATCCATTTTTGTGTCCATTCCAAAGAGAGGTGACCCAGAGGAATGTTGAAATCATTGAATGATACTATGTACAAGTTCCTCAGGAGCACAATGAAATGTTCTGGAATACTCATTCTTTGCACTGATATCCATAGTTTGCCATAATCCACATCATCCACGCCATATATCACACACAAGTAAGATCTGCCCGAATATAATTCAAAAACGACTGCAACCGTACATCAACAGGGAGCTGCCAGAAAGTCTAGCCAGAGTCAGAAGATGTAGAACTCGGAATACCATTGAGAAACCCAGAAAGATATTTACTTGTGCTTTATTAACTATGGAAAGGCTTTTGACGGTGTGGATTATGACAAACTATGGATATCAGTGCAGAGAATGAGTATTCCAGAACATTTCATTGTGCTCCTGAGGAACTTGTGCCTAGAGCAAGAGACAGTCGGTAGAACCGAATAAGGGGGCACTGAATGGCTTAAAATCAGGAAGGTCTGCCCCTGGGTTGTATCCTTTTTACAGTACTTGGTGGCTGTGTGCCGTGGAGTTGGTTCTGACTCATAGCAACCCTGTATAGGATTTCCAAGATGTAAATCGTTACAGGAGCAGAAAGCCTCATCTTTTTCCCACGGAATCACTGGTAGATTCAAACAGCTGACCTTGTGGTTTATGGTTAATACTTACTCAATCTTTATATTGAGCAAACAATGCCAGAAACTGGGTTATATGAAGAAGAACATGGCATCAGGATGGTGCAATATTTCCTGCTCTGTTGGAGCCCATGGCACTGGCGCCCTAAGCGTGCTGTCCTCTGGAGGCTCCTTTGGGAATTACCACAATATACTATAGTATTTGAAAATAGCTTCTGTCTCCCTGGCATCCTTGAGGAGGTCCCATGAACGTGTAGATGCTGTGCTTAAATGCAGAATGATCCTGTTCTGTTAGCACCTGTTCAGGGCTTTCTGTAAGGTGTCCTTGAGGAGGGTCAGTGGACATGTAGGTGCTATGGTTGGATCCAGAATGATTACGTCTCTGCACAGCATTTCCCTAACCCTTTCCTGTTTCGGAAATGAAAACTCTCTTCCCTTGCTGTTTGCTTCTCCATCTCCTCTCTGAACTTTCAGGGGGAGCCCCAGGTTCTTGGTGCAGGGGCCTGGAAAACAGCTGTTGGCCTGTGGGACTTGTGTTGGGTGCAAAATGGACTGAAGTGTGCTGTGACTTTTTATAAAGACTGCTTTTTCAATTGCCTTCATCTGGCTCATTTGTAATTTCCCTGAAGCTTCAGTGGGCAACAAGACTGAAGTCTTGTTATCACTCAGCTTTGTCTATGTCTGCTGCATTGCGGTCTGTTACTCATTGGACATGCGGAACTGGTGCACTAGCTTAGACACAGAGGATGGCAGACGCAGCCCCCGGGCGGACCTGGGGATGAAGGACTCAGTGTCCCAGAGCAGGGCGAGGAGAGTCAGAGCCAGAGCAGAGGGTGTACCCACTCGGGGGTCAGGGCTGGCTACCTTCAATTCTGACTCCAGGACAACAGAGTGAAGCTCTGCCCATCCCCACACCACCCCAACAGCCAGTGTTGTGTTGGAGTCCATGATGTGGCCGCTGTGCCCGTCCAGGGATCCCTCAGGGTACAGTGGTCAGCAGAAGTCTTCAGGGAAGCAGATTCATGTCGCTCTCCCACCAAGCAGCTGGTGGTTCTGAAGAACTGACCTTTGGGTTAGCAGCTGAGTGCTTTAACTGCTGCATCACCAGGACTCCTGATAATGTTGTATGTTGCAGTTGTTACGTGCCGTCAAGTCGCTTCCGACTCATAGCCACCCGGTACAGGCTTTCCGAGGAGGGGCTGGTGCATTTGAATTGCTGACCTTATGGTTCATAGTCTGGTGCTTACCCTGCAGCA